CAGGATTTGTCTCCCACAGATCCCCAGATGAGTGAAGCCAGGGACCAAGACCAGGTGGGTGAGGCCCCGCTCCCCACCCTGGAAGGCACAGGTACATCTGGGCTCTCTGGGTTTTTCTAAGGCTCTCCCGTCCCCTTTAGAGCCACCGTCTAACTGGTACCAGGTGGGAGCCATGAGGGCTCTTTTCTCTCCTTGATGTTCATCCCTGAGCTCCCTGCACTCACAGCACTGGGACCTGCCGAGGCAGACAGGCAGGAGCCGCCACACTTGAGTGGGATCTGTTGGTATTCACACCCAGAGCCAGTGCCAGGGCTGGAGGACAAACCTGGCTGCTCCCCCAGAGACCCACACGATGGGGCACCCCTTAGGAGCAATATATATGCTCGCACGTGAAAAGTACTTAGCAATATGAGGGACTTGCCAAAGTTCATGAAAAAAAGTGGAATTAGAGTATGAGTTTATTTGGGTGGGGAAAAAAAGGAAACCTATAACCCTTGCATATTTTTTTTCATAATATGCATTTTCTACAAACTTTTGGAAGACCCTTCATAAAGTATGTATCGAGGTCCACAGGAGGATAGCCCTCAAGACACTATATAAACAAGTGAAAAGCGCACACACTCTTCAGTCCTGCAGCTTCTTCTGGAAGCTGTGCGCACGCATGCCCAGAAATGTGTGTGGTAGGACATTCATTGCGTTTCAGGTTATGCTCAGGAAGAAAGGCTGCATTAAAAGGCCCACGTCCATGTGATTAGATTGATGTGTTTATAGGGACAGAGGCCTGCTGGTGGCAGGGGAGGGCACAGGGGACTTCTTGGGACGACAGCTGTGTGACTTCGTTAGGACTCACGTAGCTCTGTGCAGAGGAGGTGAATTTCACCAGGTGGAAACTACACCTTTATATACCCGATGTGAAGAAATTGAATGTGAGATATTGCAGCGATGTTTGTAATAGCAAAAGGCAGGACGTGAGTGGCCAGCCACAGGGAAGGGGCAAGGAGATGAGGGTGTGTTCAGGTAACGGAGTGCTGCAGCTGCCAGAAGGAACAGAGGCTTAGGTACTGAAGTGGAATGATCCCCAAGAGGTATCATTTGTGAAAACTGGTGTGTATGGTATTTACTGTTCATGTAAAAAAAAATTCAGAAATAGACTTATATATACTTTCTTACTCACAGAACATCTCTGAAAAATATTAAAATCTTTTAATGCTAGTTATTGGGTTGTCAGAAAAGTCTGTATTTTTCTGTGTTTTTCTATGCAAAAATGTGACATGACTTTTCTGACAACCCAATATATCTGGTAAGATTAGAGGTAGCTGGGGATGATGGAGTAAAAATTCTAAAAAAAAGAGGGAGAGAAAAATCTAAATTTTATTTTATTCTCTTTTTTATTTTACTTATTTTTTATATGTTATTTTTATTTATTTATTTACTTAAAAATTTTGGTAGACGGTATGTGTGCTTACCAGAGAGAGAGAGAGTGAGAAGCATCCCCTCATGGGAATGGCCACACCTCCGTTTCTCCATCCTGTCAAGATTGCAGGTAGGCACACACACCCACAAGACATGTTTCCTAAGCCACAGGGGCCAGGATTCAAACCAGGTGGCCAGCCACGTGGGAACTGGCTCCTCAATCACCAGGCCACTGAGTTGGCCCAGAATGCTGGGATTTGACGATGAACAAAACACACATGCTCTCTGCTCCATGGAGCTTAGGGTCCCTCCCTCCTTTTCTTTCTTTTTTTCTTTCTTTCTTTCTTTCTTTCTTTCTTTCTTTCTTTCTTTCTTTCTTTCTTTCTTT